TATATATATATATATATATATATATATATCCCCATATACACACACACATAATATATACAAATATTTTTCTATTCTATTCTATTATATAATATATATAGTATTTTGAGTGTTTAGATGTACCTTCCACAGATCTTCTCGCCGATATGAAACACTTCTATGTTGTCCGGCTCTCCACGCATGAAAATACGCAAGACGAACAAGCCAGGGATTGAGCTCATAACCAACTGCTGGAGAAAACCCCTGACAGCACGCTTCTAACACCTGCACACGATTAAAACAAACACATGAGCACGTTCACTACTGTTCAAAAGTTTGAGGTCGATTTAAAAAAAATTAATTAATGCTTTTATTCAGCAAGGATGCATTAAATTGATCAAAAGTCATGGCAAAGAGAATCATATTGTTACCAAAGATTTGCATTTCAAATAAATGCTGTTCTTTTCCACAAAAATATGAAGCAGCACAACTGTTTTCAACATTGATAATAATAATATATGTTTCTTGAGCATCAAATCAGCTTATCAGAATGATTTCTGAAGGATCATGTGACACTGAAGACTGGAGTAATGATGCTGAAAATACAGCTTTGCATCACAGAAATAAATTAGATTTTAATGTACAGTGGGTACGGAAAGTATTCAGACCCCCTTAAATTTTTCACTCTTTGTTATATTGCAGCCATTTGCTAAAATCATTTAAGTTAATTTTTTTTCCTCATTAAAGGGGTCATATGATGCTGCTAAAAAGAACATTATTACATTAATGAGGAAAAAAAATTAACTTAAATGATTTTAGCAAATGGCTGCAATATAACAAAGAGTGAAAAATTTAAGGGGGTCTGAATACTTTCCGTACCCACTGTATATTAAAGTAGAAAATAATCATTTTAAATTGCAATAATATTCCACAATATTACGGTTTTTACTGTATTTTTGATTAAACAAAATGCAGCCTTGGTGAGCATAATAGACTTCCTACAAAGCATTAAAAAATGAAAAAGTAAGAGGATCACTCACAATCCTGCCGTCACCTGAGCCCAGGTCAGCGATGCCTCCAGATCGGCCCTTCAGGAGAGTCATGACGTTACTCACTTGAGTTCTGCTCGCTGGCATATAAGGCACCTGGAACACAGCAGCAGTCATAGGCTGATAAATCACTCCTCATGAGCAGCATTAAGACAGACACTCCTCAAATCTCACCTGTAATCTGAGTGGCACTCGGCGAAACCCCGGCATGAGGATTCCTGCCCAGACGGCATAGACCGCCAAACCCGTGCCCGCCGCCAGCTGCAGGACCTGCCAGCCGCCCAGTCGCCTCTCTTTGAACTGTGAAAGGACTTCCTCTTGTATGTCGTCTTCCATGGCTATAGAAATAAAAACTGTATGACCACCATCTTATATTTTATACATCATATTTTATGTTTACACAGCCCTGAAACTTCTGATTTGCAAAAAGGCCTAAAATTACCTAATTTAATGAGTTAAAGAATATTAATAAATCTTTACATCACATACAGTGTTTTCACAGAATAAGAATGAAGATTTGAAGTATGACAAAAAGAAGTAGTCAAAATGTATCATAACTTACAACCTGCAAATTAGTGGAAAAAGTGGAAATCAGGATTAGGCATAAAATAATGTCTTGAGAATCATTCATACATGTGAAAATCGGCTGAGAATTGAACAAAAAGTTGTAAACTGGCTCAAATGATGACAGGAATCATGTCTTCATGCCACATGTTTTCTGCTGATTAAGGGATAATAAGACTTCTTCACCTTACAAATGATTGTTGAAAGCAAAAATGCTACAAAATGCATCGTATTTTGTGAGAAAGTGTGATATGTTCAAGCAAAACAGGCACTATTTTTTGGAATCAGCACCCCAAAATTAGTAAGAAACAAGTATTATGTGTTATACATTGTCATGTTGCATACACGTACCTGAATACTGGGTTGATACCCGTTTCCTGAAAAGTGGCTTAGTGGTTTAAGCTACAGGCTTGGACCTGAAGGTAGCAGGGCAAAGACATTCACTTTAATTTAGATTCTTTTTGAGCGATGAGGTTAAATTGCAGACTTTAAGGGTATTTAATTACATGAATGACATAATTGATCATTTATTTTAGAGGAACAAAGAGGACCTGAACCATTTGGCAGCTCGGTTCTTTTAGATAAGTGTTTGTGTGTGTGTTGCTGGTGGCACTCGACACGAGGACCAAACTATATCAGAGACAAATATTGTGCCACTATCAGCACAATTGGTACTGGTTCGCACAGTTTTATGTTTTTACAGAGGAGATATAGGGTATTCGGTAACTTATTTACTTGGGCTTATCATGCTGTTGAATTGAAGTGCAATTAATTACTTATGTTATAAAGTTATAATATACTTATAACAAACACTTATAGATTGTGTTTGAGGTTTTGCACTGGGATATGGACAATGTGGGCATAATTCACATTTAGTTATGTAACACCTGGGCGTATTTATCTCTTTTACACCAACAAAATAATTTCCAATAAAGGCATTAAGTCATCTTTTGACATGTATTTTATCTTCTCAGTTGCACAGTAAACCCAAATGTTAATGTAGTTTACTTTTTCCACATATATTTAATTATGGCTTCATACTGATCAGACTCTGTGCCAAAAAATCGCACAATTCATAAATATAAATAAACATTTGTCAAGTAAAGAAACATTCACACCTCTGGAGCTCAATAACCTTAGTTTTTATAAATATTTATAACACAGACAGAAAGTCACAAAGTCATGCACTGAACGTGTTAAACTCATTCTTTTTTTAAAAGGAGATGCGGGAAAAAATATACAACCTTCGCACAAACATTCCAAAACAACCAACTAACCTTCACTGTAAGCGGCATGAACATTTCTACAACTAAACACAGCGCAGGACGACAACTTCCTGTTTGGGATTTTTCAAAATACAGGTCCGTCGCCTGAAAGCATATTTATAAAAAACTGTATGTAAAAAAATCTGTCTACTCACGCGTTATATTCATAGGTTATTTATTTATCCCAAAATATCACATAAAATAAATATTTGATATTTTTTGCTCATTTAAACATTTCTTCAAGCTAATTGGAATGGTCTCTTTCTTTATTTAAACATAAAATCAGTAAAGTAATTATTTTACACTATCTGGCATAAAAATCTTGCTATATTATGACATATTTCTTGATGTAGCCTAAACTGTTTGGCTGAATAAGTCACATATTTTACTGATGCTTTATCTACCCGAGGCCATGAATAATAATAAGTGAAATGATTACTCCATCTGTCCAGATGATGGCGCTCTCATAAAGATGGGGAACTGAGGGAGAGAAAGTCACATCTGACCAGACTGGCATTGACCATTTTTTTTTTTTTTTCAAAGCTTATTTCAAACCAAACATCATACAAAGAATGTTACATCAGTCAAGACTTCAAACAGCTGTTGCATGAATTTGTCTGGGAAAAAAACCACACGATTATATAAAGATTATCCTGATTCACAAATCGCATTTACATGCAAAATAACAATTCCGACTGTCAACATATGAAAAACCGTTTAATCTTATGCATGTAGCACGAAATATTATAAAAAAATATTGTTTTGCTAGTTGAAGCATCGTATATAAGAAACACTTGTGGAGAGAATGATCATCTGTTTATTTCATCCAGCACATCTGCTGTCATGAAAGTCAAATGATATACAGGTGCATCTCAATAAATTAGAATGTCGTGGAAAAGTTCATTTATTTCAGTAATACACTGTCCAGGCAGAAATATCTCATACACTGATATCACCACAAATATTTGTTTTATTCAGCTTTTTCAGTTGCTCAGCACTATTTTTTTTTAAACTATGGTAATAGTAATTGTGAGCGGTTGTTTATTGTTTTAAATGAGTTAACTGTAGCTTAACAGCATGCAACAGTGAGATGCACTGAAATGCTTATTATTTGAGTAATGTGACTTGATAAGCATGCTAAAACACACACACACATACTTGTGGGTAGGCCTATTTGCAATCAAATCGATGTTTACAGTATTTACATGCACATTATAAGCTCTTGTGAATTAGCAAAAGAGGAAAAAAGCAAACATTTCAATATTCAATACAAAATACCATACATAAGAACTGTTGAAAATGACTGTTTTTTCAGTTTAAGTCACAATGACCATGTATTTACCACTGTTATATCTCTAATATTACAAGATTAATATATATTTGTGATGTGATCTATTATACATTTTTGTTAACATTTCTAAATCATTTGTGCATACAGAAATGTCAAACTCCTTCACTATACAAATAACCCATTGGTCCTTTCATAAGCAGTATGCCCCATACAGTCAGTTTATGACATAGGTAAGTCTGTAATTTTTTGTAATATGAAACATTGTAAATCCCAGAATGTGCTCTGTATTAAAGGAACAGTTTACCTAAAAATTTGCTGAAAATGTACTCACCCTCAGGCCATTCAAGATCATCTGAACAGATCTGGAGAAATGTAGCATTACATCACTTGCTCAGCAATGGATGCTCTGCAGTGAATGGGTGCCGTCAGAATGAGAGTCCAAACAGCTGATAAAAACATCACAATAATCCACAAGTAATCCTCACCACTCCAGTCATTAACATTTTGTGTAGCAAAAAGCTGCATGTTTGTAAGAAATAAAACCATCATTAAAAGCTTTTAACTTTAAACCGTCGCTTCTGGCCAAAATATGAGCCCATAGCTTCCTCCAGTGAAAAAGTTCATCCCCTGTTGTGTTTTCAAATCAAAATAAACGGTGGTAAACGGTGCTTGATCTGTGCATTTCTCTCCTGATTCAGACGAGATTACTTTTTCCACTGGAGAAAGCAATGTTATGGATAGAGGACTTGTATTTTAGCCAGAAGTAATGGTTTGAAGATAAAATTATGTATTTGTTTCTAAACGCACAGCTTTTCTCGTCACAAGATGTTAACCGATGGACTGGAGTGGTGTGGATTACTTGTGGATTATTGTGATGTTTTTATCAGCTGTTTGGACTCTCATTCTGACGGCACCCATTCACTGCAGAGGATCCATTGGTGAGCAAGTGATGTGATGCTACATTTTTCCAAATCTGTTCTGACAAAGGGACTTGTATTTTAGCCAGAAGTAATGGTTTGAAGATAAAATTATGTATTTGTTTCTAAACGCACAGCTTTTCTCGTCACAAGATGTTAACCGATGGACTGGAGTGGTGTGGATTACTTGTGGATTATTGTGATGTTTTTATCAGCTGTTTGGACTCTCATTCTGACGGCACCCATTCACTGCAGAGGATCCATTGGTGAGCAAGTGATGTGATGCTACATTTCTCCAAATCTGTTCTGACAAAAAAAAATGTATCGAATGGCTTGAGGGTGAGTAAATTTTCAGCAAATGTTAATTTTTGTCAACTGTTCCTTTAAATACCTGACAGGCTCATCTCTGGTTTGAGCAGGCTACTATTAGAAAAGCATCATGATTATGTCTCCTGATTCAGTAAGCTGATCAGCTGCCTCTTCTGACTTACTGTATAGTCTGTTAAGTACCAGGACCTCTTCTGGCTCTCCTCTGAGCCCACACTGATTTACCTGGGACTTTTGCAGAGCTTTTCACTGGCATCTGATGTGGGCTTCTCCTGACATGGAGTCTTGGTGGCATCCAAATTTTTGACCTGGGAAATTTTCCTGCTTGGATCTCATCCACAAAGCTTTCTACCTTGTCAAACTTGTTGGTCAGCTTCGCCAGGTTCTCCTTAAGAGCGTTGAACTGCTTATAAAGATCTCCCACCGCGTCCGACAGGGGCTGGATCCTGTGCATAAAACATCAAATATACACATAAAAAACATGCGGGTCATAAGTTTGTCCTAAAACTCTAAAGCCAAGTATTAAATGTGGGCACTTAACTAGTCCTGCATAAATAATTCTTCAAATCATGTGGTTGGCAAGAGGAGAGGTCATAACTTTAGAGTACTTTAATTTTAAGTGCTTTTTAGAGTACTTTTTATGAGACTTTAGAGTAGATTCGTTTGATTCGGGCCAGTAATTAACCACCAAGCAATAAGTAAAACATTATTACTGGAGAAGGTTTTACAAATAAGTATTATTATTATTTCATTATCTTTACTTCAAAATGTCATGTTTTATTCAGTGTGTTACTTGGCATGTAATTATTTGTGTAATTCACTATCAAATTCTGACTGAAAATTTTACATCAATAAAATCAATAAATTCAATGTAAATTCAAAGTAAACCCTACACCAATTTTCTTTCAGTTTAGATGAATTGTAAAAAAGTTAAAAGGTAATTAAAAGCAAAATAATAATAATTTCTATTAAATTCTATTAATGTCTATTTAAATTTTTCTATTAATTTTAAAATGTCTTTGTAGTTTTAATGAATTTTATTTCAGTTTTAGCTATTCTAGTACATCAAGTTAAAGTAAATAAAATAATGAGATACTGTATGTTGCCTTATATATGTCCCAACTACCTGAAATAAAATATATTTTGATATATTTAATTTCAGCTAAAGTTTACTTTATTTCATTTGAAAATTCAATTTTGTTTCATGATTTTAGTTTTAGTTAACTATAATATCCCTGATCCATTCTGGTATTTTACTTCATTTTCTCATTTAAATCTGTAACTCAAGATTTCATTCATGTATAGTGGCAATTAAGAGTTGTAAAAATCACAACCCTCATATGAAATAAATGTTAACAACCCATTACTTTGATGTTCTGAGATGGATAAACAACATTTTCTGAACATTTTTCGCTGATAAAAAAAAAAAAACAGTAGTAAATCATTGTAATAATAATTTCTATTAAATTCTATTAATGTCTATTTAAATTTTTCTATTAATTTTAAAATGTCTTTGTAGTTTTAATGAATTTTATTTCAGTTTTAGCTATTCTAGTACATCAAGTTAAAGTAAATAAAATAATGAGATACTGTATGTTGCCTTATATATGTCCCAACTACCTGAAATAAAATATATTTTGATATATTTAATTTCAGCTAAAGTTTACTTTATTTCATTTGAAAATTCAATTTTGTTTCATGATTTTAGTTTTAGTTAACTATAATATCCCTGATCCATTCTGGTATTTTACTTCATTTTCTCATTTAAATCTGTAACTCAAGATTTCATTCATGTATAGTGGCAATTAAGAGTTGTAAAAATCACAACCCTCATATGAAATAAATGTTAACAACCCATTACTCTGATGTTCTGAGATGGATAAACAAAATTTTCTGAACATTTTTCGCTGATAAAAAAAAAAAACAGTAGTAAATCATTGTAAATTCAAAAATGCAAGTAAATCCTACATCTTTTTTTCTCAGTTTAGAAAGTTAAAAGGGTAATTAAAAAAGTTAAAAGGGTAATAAAAAAAATGAAAAAGCAATATCTTAAAAAATTAACTTTATATGTCCATATACATTTTCAAATAAAATTCACGAAAATGTCAACAACCCATGGCTAGAATCTACATTGTAATCATCGTTTTATTTCAAACAATATAGCGTATGGATTAGATGACAGGACCTGGATTAAACCCCAGTGACACATTTTGCTGGCACAGAGATCGGGTAATAAAAGTAAATGATGATTTGTAGCAGTACTAGTTAGAAATGAGGTCGTAATTACACACAAGAAATCTTTTATGCATGATTAACGGGGCTTGAAGCTGCTGAGCAGATTTTAGGCTTGGGATCAAAGGTCCTGCACCTTAGAGAAAGCACATATTGTGCAGATTAAGTGGTTTATTTTAGTCAAAGCATATTTTGCATTAATAATCATTTCCTTTTTGCCATATGATCCCAATTTTCTCCGGTTGCTGCGAAAAAAAGTCACAAAGAAAATGTCCAGATGGCCTGAGGCTGGAGTGGACTGCAATATACGTGCCATGGACAGACCAGACCTTGTTTTATGAAACCAATCACATTCAAAAGTCACCACAGCACTTCACAACCCACCTGACATATTCTGGTAAGATGGACGCGTGATCATTGACCAGCATGTCCTTCACCTTGTACATGATGGCGTATTTCCAGTTGTCCAGAACCTGCGTCAGGTTTGAACAGCTCCTGCTGTTTGGCTTGTCTGTGAAAAGTTAACATTTTTTTGCCATTAGATGCATGTCCCTGAGTTTTTTTCCCACTTAATTTAATTTATTCATAAACCTTTTAGCACTAGATTTTACATCATTTCAGTCAGTGACAGGTCGAATGTTCAATAAAGTTGAACGTTCGACCAACAAACACACAACTGGAAGCACATTCAGGCAAGTAAAATTTAAAAAGTGTGATTTCTCATCAAGATTATTTTTATTTTCTCAATGGCCCCTTCTTAATATTTGCACTGTTTACAAAATAACAATAGGCGCTTTCAATTAATTTAGGGCACTTATTGGAGTCCCATAATTTTTTTCTAATGTAATAAAGGTACTGCATGTGCCAAGATCAAATATTCAACTCTACTGCCAAAGTTAATATAATAAAAATTATCTGTTACGTATCCGGTCCATGAACTTCCGTCTGCTAGCCATCAGAGGTCACCCTTTCCATTTTCATTGACTCTCGCACTACACACTGTTGCATATCACCCCGGACTACATATCCCATCATTCATTGCACTGATTGCACACAGCACTGATTGCACACAGCTTTGATTCTGTTCGCCGTTCGTTGACCTTCGCTATCCCTAGGATTATTCTTGTGTCTTGCCCGCCATATACCT